CTGCAGTGTGAGTTGTCCTTGGGTATCTGGCTTCCTTAAAAATGGCAGAGTAGTTCTTGTTTTCCCCTGAGGTAATGCAGGGCTGGTAACTATCATCTTCTTAAGTTGCAAGTTCTTCAACCTTGTTTTCGGCCTCCGGGCCAGAGAGGCAGGGAGGGGCAGGGAGGCCCCGGGCAGCGTGGCCAGGGGGCGCCAGTCAGGCCCTTCCCGGCGCACGGCTCACAGGTAGATTCTTCATTTTACATTTATTAATTTGCTTTTGTGACCTTTTGTAAGTTTGTGTGTGCCAGCAGTTTTATTCATATTTATCATCAAAAGGTGCCATCTGATAGTATATCCAGTGGTTTGACAGATCTTTGTCAGAAAACGTTGCTCATTTAAACTTGGATAAATCAATCTGGAGAAGGAGGGATTTGCTTGAATAGTGCTTTCTCCAAGTTTCTCTCTCTGTGTCCTGATTCACTAAAATGGCCACATTTAACATCATAAGCAATTTCTGTTAGTGAACTAAAAAAATTGCTTTTGGGTTTTCTTTGGATTTTTTTCTGTAGCATTAGATGCTGTTTATCTCTTTTTCCTCATTAAGATCGCTTCCCTTCCCCGATATCATACCTTCCCTTCCTACTTCTCTGACTGTGCTCAGGCATCTTTGCAGGGCTTCGGTGTTCTCTGGCATTCATGTCTTGGCTCACTTTTTATTCCGTATGTTCTCTCTGAGTGATCTCGTCTGGTCTCGTGGCTTTTGTTATTGCCTCTGTCCTGTTGATTTCCAGATCTTTTTTCTGTAGCCTCTAACCAGATCTCCTGAGGAGTCTAGACCCACAGCCAGTGGCCTACAACAAATCTCTGCTTGGATGCCTCACAGGCATATCTAGAATTTATACCCTCTTCTCCCACTTCCTAGCCTTCTCATGATCAGGAAAGGGCAATCTGAATGAGTGACAGTCTTCGAGCCAGAAACTGGAAAGGTGTTTTTGAGTATTCCTTCACTAGAATCTGTTTTAGTCCTTTTACTTTTAACTGTGTGATTCCTGAAATCCGTTCATATCTTTCTACGTGTTCTGCCACTACCCCAGGTCACGTCATAATTATGTCTTACCTGGACCCTCACTGTGGCAGAAGATCTTCTCTGAACCAGCCTTACCTCTTTGTATCCCATGGTGTCCAGTGTAGCTTGACCTGGTATGTTAATTAGATCATGTGGCCATCCTGTTTAAACTTGTCGAATGGCACCAGTGACCTTAGAATAGTAATGGTCTTCTAAGAAGGTTTACGAGTCCCTTCATGTGTAATTTTTATTTTCATTCGTGTCTCCCCCAAAATCTATACATTGGCCATCATGTTATCCTGTTTTTACCTTAATCTTTGTATATGATGCTTATTAAAATTTTTTTAGAACTATTTTATTTGTAATAGAGCATGGTGTGCACTCATGAAAAGAAGGAAGAAAAGAAAGGGAGAGGGAAGGAGGGTCTGGCCACACCCTGGCCCCCATCTCCCAGCCTCCCAGCCCTCCAGCCATGCAGATCTTAGGCACTTACTCTTCAGGTCACTTTTTGTCCTGCAGCTGCTTTGGCTTCCTCGCTTTCAAAACATGTCAAACACACTCCCCATCAAGGTTTTTGTGCTGTCTGCCTGGAATGCTCTTTGCCCAATATGTAGATGGCCTGTTTCCTCACTGCCTTCAGACCACTGCTGGGACAACACCCCATGATAAAGGACTCCTACTCTCCTCTACTGTGTAATCTTTCAAAGATTTATCTCTGTAGGACATAGATAATAAGTAAGACACAAAGTATGTCCTGCACTAAAATGGTAGCTTATTAAGAGTAATGATTATTTTCCTGTTTACTGCTAAATCTCTATTTCCTAGAAATTGGCATACAGTAGGTACTTGGTTATCATTGTTAAATGAATATGGGCAACCTTATATTCTTAACTCAGTATTTAGAAATAGCTGTGCATCTTTATCTGCATGAGTTAAAATGACAGCCACATTAAAACGATTCTTGATGGCTGTTAAAAGTACTGGTGCCAGCATCCTGAACTATTGGTCTAGATGAGTTTTTCCCACTCTGGTGCTTTTGGAACTTTAACTCCGTCCTTTTTTACCCTCTAGATGCTCCTTTGTGGGGAAAAAAAAATCCATTGTTTGAATTGAATTTCAGAAATTTCATTAATTTTTACCCTTTGAAGAATTCACAATATGTAATATGTAGTACTTTTTGTTTAGAGAGATCTTTGCTATAGGGCGTGTGCGCTGGCCAGACAGAGACAGAAAGCGAGAAATCACCCCCCACCCCAGGGGGAATGGCCATGCCACAATCCCTTCTCCTCCATTCTCCTCTTGGGATCTTGGGTACGCACGCATATGCACCTGGCATGAGTTTCAAGCCACCGGGCCCAGGACACAAACCGCAGTCGACTACATGGGAGTCCAGTGACATAGCCATTATGCTAACTGCTGGTCCCAGCCATGAGTACTTTTGAATTAAAGTTTTTTTTTTTTTAAAGGTTTTTGCCATAGGGCACGTGTGCATGCCTGAGAGACAGAGAGAGAGAAAAAGAGAGAGAGAGAGAGAGAGAGAGAGAGAGAGAGAGGAGAGAGGAGAGAGATGGTGAGAAGGAAAGTGAGAAATCACCCTCAGGAACGATGGACATGTCATATTCCCTTCTCCATTCTCTTGGGATTTTGGACATGTATGCACATGCACTCAGTGGTTTTTCAAACTGCCGGATCCAGTACTTGAACCGTGGTCGGCCGTGTATGGGAATCTAGTGCTTTAACCACCATGCCAACTACTGGCCCCAGGATTCTTTAACTTTGTTTAACTCAGAGCTTCCTGTACTCTGTTGATGACCAAATTGAAGAAATTGAAAGCTATAAGATACCTTAGACATGTTAAAACATGGAAACAAAAAGTCTTAAAAAGTGATGAAATATTCTGTAATGATTATCTGGAACACATATATGGGAACTGAATTTCTCCTGTCAAAGGGTTACATATATACCGACTTCAGTATTAGCATATTTTAATAATACTTCATGTTCTGATACAAATATTTCACTTTTTTAAACAGCTGATAAGAATTCTTCAAAATCGGTCGGCAGTGATGCACCCTGTGTTGTAAAAGTGGTAAGAAAATATTTTAGCTAATTTTTTTCTCAGTAAAAAATTTATTTTTTTAACATCCTTTTTGATAACAAGACTTAATTAAACCATTAGGTGTTACATTTTTAATAATGTTTCATAAATATTTAATGAGACACCAAACTAGTTTTAAATAATTTGAGTTCAAAAAGTTCCTCCTCTCTTTTGAATTGGGGTAGCACTGGCATTTGGGGATGAATGAATGAAAGCATCGAGCTAAGCAGGTGTGAGATAATGTTTTAAGCTCATTCTTTTGCTTTCAGCTGGTCACATGAGATCTTTTTACAGTCACATCCTATAAGACTATACTAATTCTATGTAATTTTACTGCATTTTGTTTTGCATTTGTGTCTGGACCTCTCTTGATCCAGAGTTTGTTTATTCTCAATTTTCTTTCCTTCTCCTTCCATTTTAGTAGATTAAATTATTTATTTAGTTGTGATTATTGGACCATCTTTGCTACAGTAATGTTGAAATTAGATTGGAAGGTTTAAAGGTTGGCAACATTCCATCTGACATAAGTGTACTTTGAATACTCCGGTCAGTTTATTTACTAGTGAAATAAAAAAGGCAATTATAACTTGTCAAATCAGTTGTACCTTTTTTTTTTTTTTTTTGCTAAGAATGATTTGTAACTTTCCATTGTAAATTTCCTTTCATTTTTTTTCCCTTCTTACTTGTGAAGACAATGTTTTTGTTAAATAGAAGAGCTAACAGGTTGTATTATTTGGGCTTGTTAGCAACTAATCTCTTAAGACATACCCTTTCTTCCTTGAAGGCTACAAAACTCAGTAATTAGTTACTCCTCTGATGTTTTCTGTTTTGTCTTATTTTCTTTTCAAAAAAGAAATATATTTGATCTCTTAGGAATCATTTTTTTGGAGCTTCATTTAAAGGGATTTATAAAACTTTTTTTTTGAGTTGTGTCTTTTACAGGGGAGTATACAGATATTAAATAAATATAATAAATACTTGAAAAACCTTTGGCACGGACACATATGCCTGTGTAAACCCTTACCCCTATTACAGTACAGGGCATTTCCATCGGTGTAAAACGACTATGTGTTTTTCCACACCCCTGCTTTCCCACACTCTTTGAGGCTTCTGCTTGCTTGAGTTTTCTTGCTGTGGATTAGTTATTCTGTTCTAGAATGGTACACGAATGGCCTTATACTGTATTACTGTTTTGTGCTCAGCCTAATGTTTTAAAGACTCATATTGTTGGTGTTTCGGTCATTGTTCCATTGTATTGCTCTGTTGATAGACATTTGGGTTGTTTCCACTTTTGAGCCATTATCAGTAAAGCTTCTATAAACATTCTTACAAGTATTTTATGGTTATAGGTTTTGATTTCTTTTCGAAAAACACCTAGATGTTGAATTGCTAGTCTGTAGGGCAAGTGTATATTTACGTTATTTCCAAAGTGCTTGTGCCATTTATATACCAGCCATTAATATGTGAGAGTTCTGCTTGCTCCATGTTCTCTCTGGGCATTGTCAGATGGGTCTCTTAGTTTACTTTTTAGTAATTGCAGTGGACATGTAGTCTATTCTTTGTAGTTTAAATTGATATTTACTTGAGGGGCTAGCAGATGGGATAGTGGTTAGGGTGCTGGACTTCCACATGACTGATTGTGATTCAAATCCTGGACAGAATGGGTTGAGAATCGCACTGGGCATGTATGCATGTGTGCCCAAAATCCCAAGAGGAGAATGGAGGGGAAGGGATTGCAGTGTGGCCATACCACCCTGGGGGATGTTTTCTCATTTTCTCTCTCTATTTCTGTCTCTCTCTGGTGAGCACATGTATTCTATGGCAAACACCTTACAAATTTTTTTTAAATTTACTTGATGACTAATGATTTTGAGCACTTTTCATTGTGCTTATTGACCATTCAAATATTTTCCTTTTTGGAGCACTACCTCAGTGTTTGACACCCTTTCCTCCTTTTTAAGAAAAATTCCGTTAAAACTTTAAAAAAATATATATATATAACCAGGTAGTTTTCCTTTATGTAGTTGAGTAGTAAGAGTTGTTTTGAATACAAGTCCTTTTGTTGATATCTGTTGTAAATATTGGGTTGTTGGAAATATCATGACACATTTTCCCATAGAAAAACATAGAAAGTTATGTCATGACTTTTCTGATGACCCAATTTTTTTCCTGTTTGTAGTTTGCCTGTTTTTCTAATGATTACTTTTTCTGCATCTAGTGAGGTGGATCATAGAAACTCTTTTATTCTGTTAACGTGACAATTACATTGGTATTTGTGTGTTAAACTAACTTTATATTCTTAGTATATACCCCATTTAGTCTTGGTGCTTTTACACAGTGCTGGAAAAGATTTGCTAATACTTTGTTTAAGACTTCTATATCTTGGGAACCAGCAGTTAGCGTAATGGCTATGTCGCTGGACTCCCACGTAGTCGACCACGGTTTGCTTCCCGGACCTGGTGGCTTTAAACTCACGCTGGGTGTGTGTGCGTGCGCGTGCGTGCCCAAGATCCTGAGAGGAGACTGGAGGAGAAGGGATTGCGGCGTGACCATCCCCCCTGGGGGGTGATTTTTCGCTTTCTGTCTCTATGTCTCTCTCTGTCTGTCCGGTGAGTGCACACGCCCTATAGCGAAAATCTCTCAAAAAAAAAAAAAAAAGACTTCTATATCTTTAGGAGGCGTGCTGTCTTTAATTCCCCCCCACCCCAATATTTCTAATTTAAAATTTTTGAGTCTGGTTGTTTGGCTGTGGTAGCAGGGTCAGGTTGGTATCCTCTGCTTGGCCTCCTGTTTTTTTTTTTCCATTGTCTCCTATGTCTTTTTACTCCAGGTGCCTCCAGTGAGAAAGCTTGGGTTGTCACTGGGTGCACTTTTTTTCCTGCTCTTTAAAGACCACAGTATTGGACTGCCTGATTTCTGACAATAGTAATTTTCTTTTCTTCTTTTTTAATTTTTTCTTTTGGTCCATTTTTAGAATTGATAAAATTGTGTCTGTGCTTCTGTTTTCACAGGCCATTTTCCTTTTCTTGGTGCTCTTTCAATGTGGATTTTTCTTTTTCATTTGTGGGATGAGGCTCATTTTGAAATATTCAGCTTGCTGCTAAATCAGAGAAATTAAAAAAGTTCTTATTAAATTGGGTTATTTGCATGGAATTGCAGAATATTATCTGCATTTGTCTTTGATTAAGACAAATTAAAATATTAAAATCTACAGTTAAGATTGGTTTCTTCTTAAAATCTTCAAAAGACTTCCATAGTAAGAAGAAGGCAAGTCCTGCATAACTTCTCATAATCTTGAGGTTCCAATGATCATGGTTCTTTCTCTGACCTCTTAGAAGTCATTGGCATAGTCATTCTAGGTCTTAGAAGGACACTGTGCCCATGCCATGTTTTATAGGTGGAATTGATGTAAAACCTTGTCTTTTTTGTTTTGTGCAACCTGGGCGTAAGTTGTGTTTTCTCTCAGAATTATGATATTCTGCTTTGTTGTAATTAGAAGTATTTCAGTTGCTATTTAATTTAACTTCACTTTAAAAAAAATAGTTTTGTTATATGTTTGTGTGTTTGCTAGAAACGGGGTGTGTGTGTGTGAGAAATCACCCCTGAAGTCCTTTTTCCTCCACTCTCTTGGGATTTTAGGCATGTGCTTATATCTGCCTGGTGTGATTTTCAAGCTGCTGGGTTCAGGACTTGAACTGCACTTTTGGCCATGTGGGATTCAGCCACCTTAACTTCCCTAACTGTAACTTAACTGCTTTTTTTACTCATACAGTTATGGGACAAAAGTGGGTAGGAACACTTATTTCCTATATATGTTTAAGGAAGCAATTTTGTATTTCTAAGTTGAAGGCCATTTGTTACCATAGCTAGTTCAGCACTCTGCATGTCCTATCTCCTAATTTAGTTTGTTTCCACGATCCTTTATTACTCTTTCTCTTTGTAATTAGGACAATGACAAACAATTATTACCTTTAATATTTCAGTAACTTTTTTAATGTTGTTGTATGTGATCTAGAAGAAAGCCATAAACAGAACAGTGTTGACTTTTTCTTTCTCCTTGAAGGAGAATTTTAACAACTGCAAGTTTGCTTCTTTCTCCCTTGTTATGTGTCTTTTCTGAACCCTTTTAAACTCCTGCAGCACTCATTACATTAGTGTTTATTTTACAGCATCACATGCTAATATCCTTCTAATGCCACTAGTTGTTTTTAGAGTTTTTATGTGTTTGTTTTATCTCCCTAGACAAATGTTAAGTTATTTGATGATAAGGACTCTTTCATAAACTTAGTTTTACCTAAGTAATCCGATATGCTTATTTTATTTATTCTTTTAAATACCTTGTAGCTATAATTTTCCATCACCTTTTTCTAGTCTTTTTTTTTTTTCCCACTTAATCTCAACTTCTCGATGCCATTTGTTTGCCTCTCTTGTCTGTACCATTGGGAGCAGGCCTGTTCTTAATTTGCTATCTCACAGCTTTGTATATGATGTCCTCAAAAAGTTCAGGGAAAATGTGCATTATGAAAAGCTATACTCATGGATTTGAAAGGCATTTTTTTTTTTTTTTTTTTGCACCGAAGGAAAAGTGTACTTAAATTTCATTTTTCCACAAATGTTATAAAGTCCACTTATATTAAAAGTTGTTTTAGGGTCCAGGTGGTGGCACAGCAGTAAAACAATGCTCTTTGAGGCAGTCTCACATGGTAAGGTTCCTGGTTCTTGTCTAGAGACCTCCCTGAATACACTGACCATGCACATGCCTATGATCTAAGACTGACTGAAGGCTGGGGTAGATAGTGGTGTCTGGACCCTGTTGGGTGTGCTGTCTCTGTCTCTTTCACTTATTCGCTTATGGAAGAATGAAATAACCTTTATGTGCCAGCTGATGGTATGGTCGTTAAGACAGATGGATTCCACATGGCTGATAGCGTAGCTTATGGCTTGAAAACCACCAGGACCAGCAGATAGCATGGTGGTTAAGGTAATGGACTCCAACATGGCTGACTATGGTTCGAGTCCTAGACCTGGTGGCCTGACAATCACGCTAAGCGTGTGTGTGTGTGTGTGTGTGTGTGTGCATGCCCAAGATAACAAGAGAATGGAGGAGAAAGGATAGCAGTGTGGCCATCTGCCCAGGGGATGATTTCTCACTTTCCCCCTCTTTGTCTCTCCGGTGAGCTCACACTCTCTATAGCAAAAACATAGGGGGAAAAAAGAAAGAGAACCATGCTGTGTGTGTATGTGTGCTCAAAATCCTAAGAGAATAGATGTGAGAAGGGATTGTATTATGGCCATCCTTCCTGTGAAGGACTTTTATTCTTTCTCTGTCTTTCTAGAGTGTCTGTACCCTATAGAAAAGTTAAAAATAAATGAACAAATAAATAAACTTTAAAAAATGTTGTAATGCTTTATCAAATACAAACATGTAAAATGAGTATCAGATCTTTCCAATATTAAAGTCAGAACTGTCCATGAATATTTGCCATTTTAAACACTAGAGGCTATTAAAGATTATGCTTTGAATGAAATGTCCTACTTTTGGGGAAAATTTTATAATTAGTTACATGGCAGTAGGCCTAGAGGTTAAGGGAGCTGATCCTGTATGGTCGACTGTAGTTTGAATCCCCGCCCGACTTTTTGAGAAACATTCTGGGTGCCTGTGCACATGTGTGCTCCATATCTGTCAGGACAGAAAAGTGGAGGGGAAGGGATTGCAGCATGGCCACCCCAATGGTACTGCTTTCTTTCTTTCTCTCTCTGGCAAGTGCACAGGCCCTCTGCCAATTAAAAAAAAGAAAAAAGAAAAAGCAGGATCCAAAGCTCTCTATATAGGATGAAGATAATTTGATAAAATGGCTATTTGTGAAGAAATACATAAAAATGTGCAAATTTTAAAAAATGAGCATTTATTTATCTTTAGAGGAAAAAACTCAGGTGTTACTTAAGAAATAAGACAGATTGATTTTTAATAGGAGATAATGGGTCTCCATCCTGGTCGTACAGTATAAACAGCATCTCTGGGTGCAGGGCTAGGTTACCGATAGTTTTAGTGAAATTTCCCAGGGTGTTGTTTTGTGCCTTGAGGTTGAGAACCACTGATGGAATCAGGTGCATAGCACACGCCTTAATTATTTGAAATACCAATATTTCAAGTGGTATAAAGTATGCATGCACATTTTAACTCTTGTTTTATGATTCCTTTCTTCAGCAGGGACTTGCAGGTACCCTATGCTTCTGGTATGAATTTCTACCTTAATGTTGGTTCCAAGAAACCAAGAAATTTGGTTACTGCTGATAATATATATAGCTCTAGGCGAGAGTGCCAGATGTCAACCCTCAGCTTTGTTATATCTGTTATTGAGTGAAGTTAAGACCTATCTATTCAAGATAGATGTGTAAGCACATACCAGAAACACTCTCCCTCTCACCAGATGATGATCTCTAGGCCACCATCCTTGACCTGCAGAAGCAGCAATGGAATGGTGGGGGTAGGCCTCAGGGATAGTAACCCTGTACTTTCTGCCTCTGGACCACTGAGAGACCTTATGCACACGCTATTTCATTGTGCAAAGACGAATGGTAAATGGCTAACACGTTGGGTAATGCATGGAGCACATTCTTTTTATGTGAGTTGGTTTTTTCTTTTCTTTTTTGCTTATAGACTTGATAAATTAGTTCTTTGAGTTTACTTACCCTGTGTGGTCATGTTATAGCGGAATTGGAGGTGGGGGTCAGGCTTCGGATCGTGGTCCTTTTCCAGTGTGGACTGGAAGAGGTCTGTGTTTCAAAGCTTCCTGCAAAGAAGTTTGCACACTGCTGTTTGATTTCCTCACTGATGTTATAAGAAGTGACCTGAATTTTCAATTCATATATGATAATTTTTTGGTGGGAAGGAGAAACTTTATACATCTTCATTTTTAAATGGCAGCCAGTTGCTTTTAGATGGTGCCATTGAAACATATCACATTTTAATTTTTTTCTGTTGTCATCTTCATTTTGACACTTAGAAGTCTTAAAGAAACGTTTAGTGATATTCTAGTTAAAATGTCAGTCCCAATTTCTTTTCTAAATCTTGGCTATTATGGAGTTGGCAAAGTATTTTAGATTTGAAATATGTTAATAAAATTTTAGTTATGAGTTAAGGTATTTTCTTCAAAAGAAATAGCTAGCTTTGGCTAGAGTGCAATGCCAAAGAAGTAGCTCCTTTATTTTGTTATAATGGAAGCTTATTAGATTAGGAAAAGTATGAAATGAGCTCAAAGAACCTTCATTGTAGTGGGGCTTTCATTATAATAGCTTGATTTATATGGTTGATTCTCATTATTATAAGTTTAATAAATTATTGCCTGAAGGAAAACTCGAAAATTAAAGTTGATATGACATAGGTTGAAACTGAATAAATCAGAATTTTATACCGAAGGTAATAAACCAGGATTTGTCGTAGGAAAACCTCTTTCAGACCTGAATTACATTAATGAGCAGTTCCAAAAGTTAGCCTTTGCAGAGTAACTTTACCAGAATTCCTGCTCTCAAGGTTCTGTTTCTTAAAACTGTTCTATGACTCCTGTTGGGGTTTGGTCCCAGCCATTAGCTTGAAACCAGCACCTCCAGCTACCATGGTGTTAGAAAAGCAGCTGCAGTTACGAAGAAACTCAAAAGGTGCTGAGTGTGCAGGCTCTGCCTCCGGCGGTCACACCAAGTGTGTGGGGTAGCTCCTTCCCGAGGATCTGATGGCGTGTGCCGCTCTCCCAGAGCTGGATGGAAATGCACACTTACTGTAACAAAGAAGGAAGCGCTTCTGGTCTGAGTGTTACGTGTGTTACCTGCTCGTTTGTGACCAGGTACTGCCTGACTCTGCAGATTAGATGCCCAGCCTTCTTGTAAGTACTTTAAGTAGGCATTTTTATTTTCTGAGTTAACAAGAAATCTGAGATAATAGGACTACGTGTAGAGAGTGGTTTTATTTAAATGTTAGGGAGCAAAATACTATTACAGTAGAGGGTATCTTGAATGAAAAAAAGTGTTTATAGGTGTTTGCAAAAGGCCTCTCTAGCAACGAAAACTACATCTTTTCATAGATTTTCTCTCAGTTATGGTAGCGCCCCATATCACTTCTATTAATGCCCTCTTAATCCTTGGGCTTCAGCTATGCAGATATAAGTCCAAAGTAACTTTCTTCCCATACCTTCTAATAAAAATAGAAAAAAAAAACAAACCCTTAAAATTAGTTTAGAAATGTTAGCTGCCTCGTTTGAAGTTTTCATTGCGTTTAAAATGTTTTCTCTGATTCCTTTGTCACCTTCCATATTTATTCTAACAGTGTAGAACTTCTGACAGGCTATTATTTTCTTCTGTATAAATGACTTTTTGTGAATATATGCTTATCAATGATTTTTTAATTGTTTACTATTCCTCAAAATATGAAATGAATATAATTCAGTAAAGCTGGTGGAAACAGTTGTTACTGAGCCCCATTTTGTCTTTGGTTTTAAACTATTATGTAGGAGAGAAATTGTCGGACTCTGGTTTGAGGAGTTTGGGGCTCAGTGTCAGAAAGTAGATGCGGTGGGTGGACAGTGCCCGCTCACCGTGCACATCCAGAGCACTCCCCTCGTGCAGGGCCTCTCTCTGCAGGTCTGATAAACTCCACGTGACTGTAATGAGACACAGCAGAGGAGTGGGGCTTTGCCACCAATTGGTTAAATCAGGTATTGAAATTTTATTAAATATAAGAAATATCTTGTAGCCCCTTGGTGATACAGTTAACATGATTGCTGATCTTTGCTTAAGGGAAAGCTTAATAAAGATGAAAATTAAACATTTTTCCTAAACTTCTGCAAAGCTTAGCTGTATATCTGATTTTGTATAATTTATCACTTATAGAAATGGATGGAACTTGAGAGAAATATAAGACTTATCTATGGACTTATACTTAACATTTGAATTCTCTTTAGCACAGTTACAAACTTCAGTATCAAAAGTATAATATTTTTAAAAAATTGATGTCAGCCTTTTTTAGAAGGTTTGTTAAAGATAAGTAAGTTTAACTAGTGCTAGTACTAATTAACTCTTATGTTTCAAGGAACCCAGTGACAATGGACCCCTTTTTACTGAATTAAAGTTCTACCAACGAGCTGCTAAACCAGAACAAAGTAAGAAATACAGTTCATGTGGGCTTGCATTTTTAAAATGACAAATTTTTTGTTTTCTTCTAAGCCAAGACTAGAGCATTATATATCTTCTGTTATTTTTTGTTTTGTAAATAGATAACATTTAAATTAAATTTGTATGAAATAATTATGATCTCTTAATGGGTTTTGTTAAAGATTTCACCTATATTACTATATAAGATAATGTTACGTTATTTAGGAAATGTTATGTAAAATTGAGAATCCTAATCTATGTGTGTGACCCAAGGAGCTCCAAATCCTTTTGAGTATTTTTCTAAATTCTGGAGAACATAACCTGGGGGATACCACAACTGATGCAGTAGAGCACAGTGTCAGGACAGAGGACAGGACTTAGAGCCCCATTGCTCCTTGTCTTTCCTGCCCATACTCTGTCCCTTTTCCTTCTCAAATCCAGGGATTCTCCTCGTGAGACGGTGCAGAGCTTTGTAGTTTCTTAAGAAGATCCTGATTTTCTGGTTGAGGATGTTCAGATTAGGGAAAGTTTTGCCTGGAATTAAAAAATAGGTCTTAGAGAAGCAAGTAAACATTTATGTAATAATAGTAACTATAACTTTAGTACTATGGTTTTTATTTTTTTAAAAACTTTTTATATTTTTTTTCATTTAAAGGCTATGTTACATATAGGATAAAAAATTTTGTAGGCTAATAAAAATGATTATGTTTATACTGTACTCTTTCTTTTTTTTGTGAGTAAAGGTGAATGAAATCTTATTGCCTATATAAGTTTTTCTGCTCTTAATGATTTTTAAAGAAAATATCATCTATGTTTAAAATTTGCTATCACAAGCATCTGTTTTAACTTGTAGTTCAGAAATGGATTCGTGCCCATAAATTGAAGTACCTGGGTGTTCCTAAGTATTGGGGGTCTGGTCTGCATGATAAAAATGGAAAAAGGTAAAATTATACATAATTTGTTTCTTTTCTGTCTGCTTTGAGCATTCACAGTCCGGTTGGTTTTGTTAAACTATCCACTGTTCTTACATAATGAACTGCATTCTAACAGAAAACTAGGGCACAGACTACTGAAAGGCCAGTTTAGAGGAGGGTACTCCTGTAGCAAATAGCTGGTACTTGGTCAGGTCTAGCAGTTGGGCTTCAGTCCTGGCAGGCAGCTGATGGGTGTAGGGCGAGATTCTGACCTCTGGCAAGTTAGCCATCTCTGTTTGACTCTGTTTTCGTCTGTAAATGCTGCTTCATCACATTGCTGGCTGAAATTCTTAAAACCTGTTCTGATTCCAAAGGCTTATCAATATGCGTGTTGTTTTTTGCTCAAACTTGAAATTTAAAAATTTTCTTCTCCTCCTTCCTTTTTTTCTTTTCTTCTTCCTCCTATTCTTCTTTTCCTCTTCTTCCCTCCATCTTCCTCCTCTTTCTCCTTTCCTCCTCCTCCCTCCACCTCCCTCCTCTATCTCTCCTTTTGGGATTTTGGCATGCACACATACACACCCAGTGTGCTTCTCAAACCTTCAGGTCCATGACTTGATTGCTTGGTTTGTCACATGGGATCCAGCTGCTTTAACCACCAGACCATTGAGCCCAAAACTCTGTTAAATTTAATCATATACGGTTTTCCATGGTAACACGTCAGTCAAAGACTATTTACTGAGCACTTAACAGTATTGCTGGTTCTTCAGCTGTACTATGGAATTTGCAGGACAGAGATAAGATGTTATCTGTGTCCTCTGCTTTCCATAGCAGCAGGCTGGCACTCTGTTAGGAGGGAAGAACCTCTGTAATCTGGGGAACTTCTAGAGAGCAGTATCAGTAACTGGGGCCAGGTGACAAGGAGGAACAACGCCAAATGGACTCTGTGGCGTTTTGTTTGTTTGTTTGTTTTACTTTCTGCCCTTAAAAATAAACGAAACCCTCCATGTTCTTTATGTAGAAAGAAGCTCTTCAGGATTCCACTCGGTATTTTATGTTAGAACATAATCTTACCGCAGAATATTAAAATCCATCCCCTTATAAGGGTTTCAGTCTAGCTGATGAGAGGGAAAAAAAATCAACTATGAGACAACTAATTGCAAAATTGTGTAATTCTGACTCGTGTCATAGGAATCCAGAGAACACAGTTAGCGTAGTTGAGTTGGAGAAAACCACTCATACTTTGATGTGTAATCCAAACTCCTAAAATATTTGAGTAAACGAATGGAATTTCATGGAGTAAGTTTGGTAGCTGAAACTTGAAGAGTAGATTTACTTTGGAGCTGGAGGCATGCACATACTGGTGAGGATGCTTTCTGCTACAAGTAGAGAAAAACTTAGACTCAGCTATCTTAAGCTTTCATCATGGCCCAGGTCTTTACGGTGAACCTTTGCTTTCCTCATCTTGGCTTTGGTCTGCTGTTTCTCTGTTGTGTGGTCTCAAGGTGGCTGCCCCATTTCTAAGCTTCACATGCAGCTGCAGTACCCAGTAATAGGAAATGCTGTTGCATCTTATGAGTTTCACTTTCTGGCAACAAGGAAACCTTTCCCAGGACTACTGTGGCAGACTTGCAGTCTCTCATTTTCCTGGTCAGGATTTGATCAGTGCCCATACTTCCACCAGCTACTGGCAAGGACAAAGTGATCATCCAGGGGATGGGGAAGGCCTGAACCCCACGACACTCTGTTGGAAAAGGCTGAGAAGAAGGGTAGTTGTTAACTGCTATCATTATTGGGCTGTTTGCATGTTTTATTCAAGTCCTCAGAAAAGCATGCATTAGAGGAGTTCCTTAGAAATAGCTCATTTAACTACTTGGTGGTAGAGCTGTCTTTCCAGAGAAATGTGGTAACAGTTCCTATGCAATTTATAGAACCGTGCTTCAGTTAATGTTTGTAATTTAAAAATGGTGAGAAGATTAAGGGATTGTTTAGAGTAGTGTTAGGGTGATCTGTGATTAAAATCAAAGACCTGCTTGACTTATTAGTAGATCCCTTGTTGAATTAAGCAGTTGTGTTTAGCCTCCTTTCAGGCCGTTAGCCGAGTTCGTGTTTTCGTTACCCATATATTATTAAAATAATTACACACATCACATCACTTATTTGTAAAAGCAAGCATGTACATGTGTCCTGGTCTCATATACCAGCCTTTCAAAATCTGTTATACAGAGAGAATCAGAAAGTCAAAATGACTATTTCCTCTGCATTTTCCTGGAGGTTAGAGTACCAGGAAGTCTTACATGAAGGAATATATTTGCCATTAACTACAATGATTGTGTGACTTTGGACAAATCACTTTACCTCCATCAACATAAATTATTTATTAAAGCATGTTTAAACCAAGATGTCCTCTGATTTTCTTCCAGTTAAAAAGAGGATTAAGACCCTAAACTTTTTATTTTGCATGCTGTCATTTAATGTTTGTTAGTGCTTCCTTTCCTGTTGAACTCGTCATACTGTATTTTTATCAAAGAAGCCTCCATATAAGTGGGATTTTTACAGCCTACCAGTGTTTGTTTATTTTAGTATATTTAGAGCAGTGGTGAAAAGTGTGAATCCACCACATACCACAGGAGAAGTTACTTATTAGTTTCCTTCTGCTCTGAAATGGGGGTGCTAGGAGTCCCTGCCTCATAGGAGTTGTACAAGGCTTAAATGCATTAATACATCTAATACTTGGACTAGTGCCATGCTCATACAGAGCGTTCAGGAAATGCTGCTATGATGATGGTGAGGATTTGTAATGTTATTCCCACTGGAAGGTGTCTTGAGACATTTCGAGTGTAGTCTTGATTTTTATGATTATTGAATGATTTAACCAGACAAGTAGTATTTAGAAAGCTGCTGAAGGTAAAAGTGGTCCTCAGAACAAAAGCTGAGCAGTTATTGCAAGCAGGCGATGCTCTTCAGTACCTGCTGAAATACTACACGTGGCTGTGGACTCTTAGAAGCTGAGTGCTGGAGAAGACCTCAGAAAGAGGGAATAGCTACTCTCTTATCTTACTCTGTGGAATTCAAAGCCCAAGGAAGTAATGTGACTCAGCCAGGCTGACAAAGTTGGTTTGTGGCAAAATAAAAGTCTTCACATTTTCCCGTTACTTGTTCTTTATCAAATCTTGGACATTAAATGTTTAATGCACAATCCTTTTGCACCATTTAAACAATATTGAATTTAGCTATTGTTACAGCATCCCTTGATAATCCTAATATTAATAGAATGTTGATAATGCTGAAATGACCCTTAAAAATAAGGAGAGTAGTCACAGGAAGGAAGCTAATATCCAGAAACACAAATTAACTTTATAAGAAAAATCAGCACTGTCATTCTTATTTAGGTTGTTTTATGTTTACGGTGAATGAATCTGTTGGATTTTCTGTGGGCGTTATCCTAAATTGAATATTGTGTCCTGTAACTCACTGAGGCTAGGAAGAGGCTCTCCTGATTAAAGGGAGGGTAGGAAAGCACTTTGAACTTCGAAGGTTTCTAGCTGAGAGAGAGTGTTTCAAATGCTAGTATTTGTTTCTTTTAGAATATGTTCCTACTACACATTGCCTTGAGAATACTTTGAAAGGAGAGTACTCATTACAAAGTAGATATTCCTGAATTACATTTTGTTCATTGGCTTTTCTTATTTGTCTTTAGTTACAGGTTTATGATAATAGATCGCTTTGGGAGTGACCTTCAGAAAATATATGAAGCAAATGCCAAAAGGTTTTCTCGGAAAACTGTCTTGAAGCTAAGCCTAAGAATTGTATGTGAGCTGTGTTCTTGTTTTTAAAACATTGTTTTTAGTACCGTAAAGCCAGTGCTGCGCTGATGCTCGGTCCTCTGCTGGTTGGTGTCAGGTACTGCACTCACTTGCTCTGTGTGATGCTTTCACAGCTGGATATTCTGGAATACATTCACGAACACGAGTATGTACACGGGGATATCAAAGCCTCGAATCTGCTCCTGAGCTACAAAAATCCTGACCAGGTAGTTTTCATAACTTTCATTTCTCCCATTTAAATGTGCTGTTTGAAAACAAATGCGGTTGCTTTGAACTTTTGAACCCCTGCAAAAGTTTTACTTTTTGAAGTAGATATGGTAATAATATTTCTTTTGACACTTTTATCTTGTTAACATTCTACATTTTTGATGTAATTTGTTGGCACTTTATCAAGTTGGCTATTTTGCCCTAAATAATATTCAGAAGAAGTGCTTGTGATACAAAATGAATTTCAAATAGCTGTTTGGGGGTGGAAGCTTAAAATTATATAGTACACCAGTGAATTATGTTTGCCTGTCTGCTGTGTCACTTTTTTTATTTCCTTTGTTCAAGAAATCCATCAAATGTAAGTGTTCTGTTACTCGGAAAATTTGGTCTTTAACATGTTGATTATTCAAATCAATTGGTTTACAGAAATACCTTAGCTGTCTAAATTTGTATACCCTTAGTGTTTGGAATTCAAATGTACTTTTTTTTTTAAGTTTATTACATTCTCTTTGTAATTTTTACTTTCTAAGGAAACAAAAAAAGCTAATGATATACTTACCCTTGGGTCATTTTAGTGGGAGTACAGGGATCTATATACTTTTCTTGAAGCTGGTTCCATGGTTTTGGTAAAGGCTTAGTTGGCACTCATAGTTGGGCCACTGTGCTTAATGTAAGTTCTTCTTCCAGGATCTTGTATAGAAAAGGAAGATTTAAGCATTTTTAAACATGTTTGGTGCTTTGATTATTATATAATTATTTGTCACTGTATTTCCTTCTTTCTCTGAAACCTCTCTTTACCTCTTGCTTAGTTTTTCCTTTGGCTCTTCCTTTTTTTTTTTATCTCATGTTTACATCCCTTTCCCGCATGTCTGTAATGGTGGATATAAGAGGATATGTGTAAGTATAATGGAAGAAAGTTGGTCTGTTATAGCAAGCAAATGGAGAAGTCTTAAAGGCAATCACAGAAATTATCATAGCCCTTTTCTTGGATGGAAACAAACAAACAGAGACACAGCAAAAAATCTGAACAACAAGGGTTTCCATTACCTGAAGTAGACTGGAATTACACAATATAATAAAAATACAAAATATCAGATTGCACTTGACTGAAATGTGCTGCTTTTGTATGGAAATATTTTGTCGCTCTGTTATCTTTGGGCATATGCTTTGTATAAGATTCTTCTTCTAGTGTTAGATGTGTGTGTAAGATCCAGTCCATTTTTACTCAGTTTTCTCTTGTGCCCAGATGTATACAGTTGTGACAGGTACCGAGAATTAAAGTTGTGCTACGTGGCAATGGCCTAGAAGAAAGGCAAATATCTTAGCTTTGTGTACTAATCAGACTCATGTGTGTATGCCCACAGATACGTGTCTATTAGGATTTAGTTTTAATTATGAAGTTTTGACTTAATATATGGCATTTAATGTAGGTAAGAGCATCTAAAAGTTGTTCAAGTTATAATTATGAACTATGAAATGTTTTTACGAAATAAATTTGATATTCAATTATTTTACAAGCAAAGAAACAGGAACAGAAGATAACTAATATGTCAAATGTCAATTTCATTAGCAGTCTTAATTCTTGATTTGCTTTTCCATGTAGTAAGTGGCAATTGTACTGCAACAAATATTGATGGTTTATTCTGTGCTCAGTTTTGTTTGAGACTCTATAAGTAAAAATAGAAGATTTGTTATCCTGGCTTAGGGTGTAAGAGGAGATTAATTACAGGTACAGTGCCAACATGGTACCATGAGGGGGAAATTGATTATCCTGTATCCACAATGCTTGGATCTGAAGTATTTTATTTTGTTCATTTATTAGGGATAATAAAATTAATGTATTTATTAGGGGTTTTTGCTATAGGGTATGTATGCTTGCTGAAGAGACAGAAACAGACAGAAAGGGAAAAGTCACCCCCCGCCTCCCCTGGGAGCATGGGCCTGCTGCAGTCTTTTCTCTTTCATCTTCCTCTTGGCATTTTGGGTATGCATGCATATGTGTCCAGCATGAGTTTCAAGCCACTGGATCCAGGACTTGAACCGCAGTTGACCACATGGAAGTCTAGTGCCTTAACCACTACGTCACCTGTTGGCCCTGTGGACCCAAAGTATTTCAGATTTCAGATTTTTTTTTATTTACATTTTGGAATATTTACATATACATAATGAAAGATTTTGGGAAGGAGACTCAAGTCTAATGAAATTTATTTATGTTTCATGGACGCCTTATATACATAGTCTAAAGATAATTTTATACAATATTTTTGTATTGCAGTGTTTTGTATTGCAGTGACCTGACACTTGAGGTCAGGTGTGGATTTTCCTGTTTATGGTATCATGTTGGCACTCAAAAGTTTCCAATTATGGAGCATTTTGGATTTTGGATCGTTGGATTAGGGATTTTCAATGTTATGACACGTAATTGTCTAAAACAGTATTTAAAGTCAAGTGATATTATCCAGATTATAGCTATGTGGTCATTTAACATTTTTATTAAAAATAAAAAATTTTTTAGAATTAAATATTTGCTGTTGTTTACATTTTGGATTTAGCTCGTTGGGATGCTATGGTATGGCCTTGTAGGCGAACTCACCCACAAGTGGAAGCATTTTGTTCCTGTGCTTTAAGGGAATGTGTAATGATTTGGGCTTTAATCTGTTTTGGTGCTTGGAAATTTGCAGGTTTACTTGATAGATTATGGCCTTGCTTATCGGTATTGCCCAGAAGGAGTTCATAAAGAGTACAAAGAGGATCCCAAAAGATGTCATGACGGCACTATTGAATTCACAAGCATTGATGCGCACAATGGTGTGGGTATGTCTGCAGCCTTGGATGAGAAAGATATACTAACGATTTCAACCGAAAACCTGCACATGGGCACAGATGCACAGATGCAGAGATAGCTAAGAGTTGGCAGAGGCAAGGTGGCATGGGGATAGAAGGTAGAAGTTAAACCCTATGCTTGTATAACAAGTTACCTTGGGTTCTTCTCTCAGAGATAATCCAAGATAAGCTGTAAGGTGGTTTATTCAGCTGCCATCAGGGTTTTTCTTGATTTTATTTAGCTTAATCAGAATGTTGGTTTGTGCTTATTTTTGTCCTAAAATTCATGAGTTTCTTATGTAGCTACAGCTTTATAGTAGGTAACTTATTTTATCATCTATGAAGTCAGCTTATTTCTCCAGTAGTCATTTCTTTTTTTCATATAATGCTGTATATCTCAGACACCCAGTTCTTTGGACCTGGGGAAAATGAATAACATTTTAAAAATATCTTCATGCTGGGAACCAGCAATTAGTGTAATGGCTATGTTGCTGGACTCCCACATAGTCCCGGACCTGGTGGCTTAAAACTCACGCTGGGAGTATGTGCGTGCGTGTCCAAGATCCCGAGAGGAGAATGGAGGAGAAGGGATTGCGGCGTGGCCATCCCCTCTGGGGGGGGTGGTTTTTTAATTTCTGTCTCTCTGTCTCTCTCTGTCTATCTGGCGAGCGCACGCGCCCTGTAGCGAAAACCTCTCCAAAAACAAACAAACAAACAAAAAAATTCTTCATGCTTTCTGGGGCAATATTAAATATGTCCTTGTTTCATGATTTATTTAGTCTCAGTTTGAAACTCTAAAGCTTACCACTTTGGGTTTTAAAGTAAATTATTAGTTGGAATTAAATTACTTTTTTTATACTGCCCAATGTTTAACTTTTTTTTTTTTTCCTTTTAATTTGCTAGAAGGTGCTTGTGCTTGCCAAAGAGAGAGGTAGGAAGTAGAAAGCACCCTCTGCAGGGGATGGTCACATCCCGTCCCTCTGCCTCCATTCTCGTTTTGTGATTTTGGACATGCACTCACATGCACCTGGCGTGTTTTTCTGAGCCACAGGGCCTCATACTTGAACCCCTCAGTCTACCATGCGGAATCCAACTGCCTTAACCACCACACATTGTCTTTTATTAAATACAGTCAAAATACTACGATGAAAAAAGACTATAGAGTTGACTTTTACTTTATTGCTCTGTGTGTACATAACATTCCATCTAAAAGCTATCTCAGTGTATCTAATCTTCTTTTGTATTTGCAGCCCCATCGAGACGTGGTGATTTGGAAATACTTGGCTACTGCATGATCCAGTGGCTCAGTGGCCATCTTCCTTGGGAGGATAATTTGAAAGATCCTAACTATGTTAGAGATTCCAAAATTAGGTAAAGGGAAAATTAAATTATTTTGGACAAAATAATATTAAGACAAAAGATTTAGTCAGAATTTCTTGTCAAGAACTGTAGTTTTAACTGATACTAATGTAGAAATAAGAAAGTACTTGTTAAGAGACCGAGATTCCTTGGTCTTCTGTTCAGTTTTCTTTAGAAGAACATGTGTGAGCATTTTAGGGTAGGACACAATGCTGCTTACTGTGCTGTTTACTCTTATCAAGTATTAATAACATGCTGTGACATCAAACTTCAGACAATGATTCGTTCTTTAATTTTTAACAGATACAGAGAAAATATTGCAAGTTTGATGGACAAATGCTTCCCTGAGAAAAACAAGCCAGGTAGGAAAAGACATGTTATAAGTTTATAGGGTTTTTTTTTTTCCTGGGGGGAAAAAAGACCTGATGTCTGTGGAATGGGCCTTAATGTGTGAGCTTGGGAATTTTTAAGTGTAATTGTCGTACTGAGGTCTGCTTCCATCAATAAAAAACAAAAACGAAAGCAAAACCTCCCTTTCCAAAGGTGGGTTGTGAAATGAGTACGTGAGCCTCATTCAGTTATTACTCAGTGTTTTCTGGAATGGAAGCATATCTCTTTCATTCATCTGTCATTTGTCGAGGCTTCATTGTGTGTCAGGGACTGTTGGAGGCACTGGGTGTGCACCAGTGAGTCAAACATGTAGCACACCCCTGCCCCTCTGCCTTCACGAAGCTAACATTCAGTGGGAGAGGCAGAAAGGAAACAAACGAGTGAATTTTGTAGTATGTTATGTGATTAGGATTGTGGGAAAAAGAACAAAACTGGGAAGAAGAGATGTGGGAATGGAGCAAAGGGAGGGAGGATTGAAGTTTTAAACAGAGGCAGCATCACTAAGGAGGTGACATTTTAATAGTTAGAAGGATGAGGTGAGGAAATGAGCCTGGGAGAGGGCGTTCCAGGCAGCAGGGCCGTATGGACCTCGTGGATTTAAGGGGTGTGTCCTTTTTGGTCACAGTGAGGGCTTCGGCCCATGCTTCAAGCGAGAATGTAAGGAGTATTAGACGAGTGAGGTGAGCTGTGGTAGCTCCAGGGGCGAGTGCTCTGGCCTCTGCTGTGTGGGTGGACTGCGAAGGGAGCAAGGAAAGGCAGAAGCAGGCCAGGCAGTCATCCGGGCGGGCGCCCAGCAGTGACATAGTGAGATGTGTCAGGTGGGCATACTGAGGAGTCTGCCAAGCCTTTGCTCTGTCGTTGTCTTCACAAGGTGGTCTACCCTGACCTGTGCTACTGAAAGTTAGAATCTACACACACATCAAGAAATTCATTATGTCATTCTCAGAATTACACCATCTCAGATTGGTGCCTCCAGTCAATTAATAGCTTCTTTATTCTAGGTCCTTTTGTATTTTAAAACGACAGCTGTTATTAAGGTATTGTCCATTTGCATTCTAATTTTATTATAACTGAGTTATTAGAAGTAAGAAAACTTGAGTTTGTGATTAAAAGTTGTAAAATGACTTTGTTATTTTAGGTGAAATTGCTAAATACATGGAAACAGTGAAGTTACTGGACTATACTGAAAAACCTCTTTATCAAAATTTACGAGATATTCTTTTGCAAGGACTTAAAGCTATAGGAAGTCGGGATGATGACAAACTGGAACTCAGCGTTGTGGAAAATGGAGGCTTGAAAGCAAAAACAGCAACAAGGGTGAATTTTGTTATTAAATTACTCTTAGGGCTTCTTCTGGTTTAAATTGTAACAAATCTTAAAAAAGGTGAAATAGTAGCTCAGTGAAGAAAATAACGTGACTTGTCAGTTAAATATCACCTCTCTGTAAAGGCAGTTTCTTTTGATGGTACAGAACAGTATGCAGAGGATTGTAGAAGAAAAATATGTATTTCTTTCAATCAGTAACAAGCTCTTAAATAGCTAAAAGGATTTTCACTTAATCATACTGATGTCTGGCAGAGGGATTTTGACTGGGCACTGATTTTGTAATTTATGTGTTCTTTTCTCCAAAGCCACCCCTTAGGGTTGATTTGGTCTCTCCATTTTACCTTGTTTGTGGGATTGATCAAAATGTTTACTGTTTGAAAATTGGTATCTGAAAAATTATCATCTGCAAATTGTCACTTGAAAATTTTCTTGTTTGTCCGTGTGGTATGTTTACTATTTTGAATTTTATTTTGGTTTTCAAAGTAATATCATGTAAAGTTATGTATTTGCATAAAAGGAGATTATCTCTTTGAGAGAAATGTTAAATAATGAATTTTGTGGCAGAATCATTATACAAGCATGTAAAGGACTGGTATCACTTTCAAATTTTGATTTTATAGGTAAGTGTTAACTTTATCAATTGGTTATTTTTTAAATTAGTGATAATTTATTGATTTTATTTATTAAAATTGTTTATAAATATGTTAACTGTCTGTGAGAAGGGAAAGCTATTTTTAGACCAGTATATTTTTCATTATTGACCATTCTTTACCATCAACTCTATAAACTGCAATAGATTTCTTTGGAAATTTCAAGTGTTAAAAACAAATTTTTTCCTCTTTAAAATCAGAAGGAGCATATTAAAAGATTTTTGGGGTTGGCTAGTGGCATGATGGTTAAGGTGGCTGGATCCCACATGGCTGACTGCCCTGTTCGAGTCCCAGACTCAATGGCTTGAAAACCATGCTGGATGCACATGTGTGTGCATGCCCAAAATCTTGAGAGGAGAATGGAGAAGAGGGGATTGTGGTATGGCCATCCCTCTGGGTATGTGGTGCTTTTTCACTTTCCTACTTTGTCTCTGTTGAGTACATACATCACAGTACTAAAAAATTTAAAATAAAGATTTTTTTTTTCTTTCTTTTTTTCTTTCCTTTTTTAGGAGAGGTTTTTGCTATAGGGCATGTGTGCACGCCAGAAAGAGAGAGGCAGAGAGACAGAAAGCAAGAAATCAACCCCCCCCCTCGGGGGGGGATGGCCACGCCACAATCCTGTCTCCTCCATTCCCCCCTCAGTATCTTGGGCATGCACGTACACGCGCCCAATGTGAGTTTAAGCCACCGGGTCTGGGACTTGAACCGTGGTCGGCCACATGGGAATCCAGTGACATAGCCATAACTGCTGGTCCCATATTTTTGTCTTTTCAATTACAAAGGAGATAGGAATTTGAAAATCAGATCAAGAATTTGACTTATTTTTCAGCAAATAGCAGGTGTCTGTGATTTCTTCATAGAATCTAAAATTATACAGATGAATCTACATAATACTTTTTTTTTTTTTCCATGAGTTTAGTCTTCATTGCATCTGCTCCATTTTATGGTCAGCAAATGTGCCGAAAACTATGTCTATCTAGATTTGAAATGAAAGCCTGAGAGGAATTTTTTAGTAAGGATGTATACTTACTGTTTGCAGAAATGCACAAGCATACAGCATGTACCTTTTGGCTCAGGACAGATTTCTTTGCATGTTCACAGCTACCTTCCATTGTTCTTTTCTGTAAGTTTTTGCTTATTGAGGAGTAAAGGTCTGGGCTGCCATGAGAACTTGTCCAGGGCAGCTCCCCTTTCTTTTGCGAGTCTTTTTTGTGTGGACCTATATGCTGTACAAAATTTGGTTTCTGCAGGTTGGCTGACTTTACAGCTGAATAGGTCAGTCTGCTGCAGAGCTAACATCTGTGACCTCACAATTCTCTTGTGTCCTTGGGTAGTTCAGAAGCCGGGAAATTTCTTGTTGGACCATCTCTTACATTTAGAAAGCTTCATTTAGGGAGAAAAAATGAATACCAAGTTGAACTGTTAGGAGATTTTCTTCATTAGTTGACTGCTTTTTGTGTACTCATTGCTGACACAAAGCTATTCTTTGTATCAAAAGAAATTACTAAAAGATAAGGTTAGGTGAGGTTGTGGAGTTGCTTGATAGCCATATAACTGAAGTAAATGATTAATTCTGTTGATTTCTTTTTCTTTTTCTTTTTTTTTGGTTTGCTTATAAAGTAAAAATTGGGCCAGACTAATTGTTCTTAAGCTTTTTCCCCCCTAAGCTGCGAAACATTTTTTTCAAATAAGTTCTAAATTTCCTCATCTAAAACAGATAAAAGCAGAACTCTGCTGACCAAATAGTTGGGGGCTATTTAAAAGGAAATGCTTTCTTCTTTAGAAACTAGTTTTTTGTTATTGTTTGTTTTCTTGCAAAGTCCGTAATCAGATGCAAGGGTTATCAGTGGTCTTAGGGTGACCAGCAGATGGTGTACTGGTTACGTCACTGGACTCCCACGTAGTTGACCACAGTTTGAGTCCCAGACCTGGTGGCTTAAAACTCACACCAGGCGTGTCCAAGATCCTGAGAGCAGAAAGGAAGAGAAGAGATTGTGGCGTGACCATCCCCCTGGGGGTTATTTCTCACTTTCTGTCTCTCTGGCTAGCATACATGCACTATAGCAAAAATCTCTTTCTCAAAAACAAAAACAAAAACATTAGAACTACATCTAATACTTACTCCTAGGAATTATATTAATCCTTATAATTAGCATATTTGCTTCCTCTCCTTTTCCTTAGTCATAATTTCTTGAAATATATATGCTTTGTATTTATGTAATCAATAGATACTCCTTGTTAGGTTCCTAAAAGATATTCTTTATGGTAAAACCTGTAGGAATTGACCAACAATGGAATGAACCAGGGTATCTGTCCAATTTTTTGCAACCATGCTTGATTATGGTATGATATATTTAGAAACAAGTATGAAATATGAATTTACCCACTTGGAAGTATTTTCAGCCCAATATTTTTTTTTTTTTTTTTTGGTTTGCTTATAAAGTAAAAATTGGGCCAGACTAATTGTTCTTAAGCTTTTTCCCCCCTAAGCTGCGAAACATTTTTTTCAAATAAGTTCTAAATTTCCTCATCTAAAACAGATAAAAGCAGAACTCTGCTGACCAAATAGTTGGGGGCTATTTAAAAGGAAATGCTTTCTTCTTTAGAAACTAGTTTTTTGTTATTGTTTGTTTTCTTGCAAAGTCCGTAATCAGATGCAAGGGTTATCAGTGGTCTTAGGGTGACCAGCAGATGGTGTACTGGTTACGTCACTGGACTCCCACGTAGTTGACCACAGTTTGAGTCCCAGACCTGGTGGCTTAAAACTCACACCAGGCGTGTCCAAGATCCTGAGAGCAGAAAGGAAGAGAAGAGATTGTGGCGTGACCATCCCCCTGGGGGTTATTTCTCACTTTCTGTCTCTCTGGCTAGCATACATGCACTATAGCAAAAATCTCTTTCTCAAAAACAAAAACAAAAACATTAGAACTACATCTAATACTTACTCCTAGGAATTATATTAATCCTTATAATTAGCATATTTGCTTCCTCTCCTTTTCCTTAGTCATAATTTCTTGAAATATATATGCTTTGTATTTATGTAATCAATAGATACTCCTTGTTAGGTTCCTAAAAGATATTCTTTATGGTAAAACCTGTAGGAATTGACCAACAATGGAATGAACCAGGGTATCTGTCCAATTTTTTGCAACCATGCTTGATTATGGTATGATATATTTAGAAACAAGTATGAAATATGAATTTACCCACTTGGAAGTATTTTCAGCCCAATAGTCAAAGAGTTTTATTTAAAATACAGAATTTTGGAATAATATGAGGCTGAAGAAAAAAGAAATCAAGTATGAATCTGCCCTTAGAAAACACAAAGCCAAAGATTTTTATGATTTATTAGAATTAAACAATTTAATTAGAGTTGGCAGTGTAGTACAACAGTTACTGGATTCAGCTGTACTCTTACATCAACGTTCAGCAATTACGAATAAGGTCTAATTTATGTACCTGATGTAGGCTGGGTCTCTGGAAATACAAAGATCAATAACATATAGTCCATCCTTAAGGAATTCATCCCTATCCCATCTAGGTTAAGAATAGCTTAATTCACTGGAAGGAGATTGGCAAGGTAAAAGGACATTAGTACCTCCATTAGCTGTGTTCTTCTAGGGATTTGATTAAGTTGTCTGCCCAAGTCAACAAAAATGCTGTTGACTGGAATCTTTTGATGTCATCCTTGGAGAGTCATTGAGTAGGTCTATAGCCAGCATGGCCTTGCAGTTTGGTTTTGCAGTTTCATACAGTATATATTGCTACATTATAAGTTGTATAAATTTAGGTGGTTAAAGTTGATATATTTCTGTTTCCTAGTGGTTTGGCCATAGTTTTATATTAAGTGGATTCAGCATTTACAGTTTCCCCCCCAGGTCCTTTATTCAATTCTGTAATTTGAACCTCCTCTTACCTGTCTGAATTTTGTCAAGTAGCTTTTCTTCCTCTAAATTTTTAAGTGAGATTGTTACATATGTACAGAAAAGTGCACCAAATAAGCATGGGATTTTACAAAGTGAATGTATGCATTTAATTATCATCTAGATCAAGATATGGATCATTACCAGAATTAGTTTTGACATTAAGAAAAAAGAATTGTAGTAATGCATGATACAGTATGTTCTCTTTTGTATCTTTCATTCAGTTGTATGTCTTGAGTTTCCATGCTGTTGCAGATAACACGCTTGCTCCTTTTTGTTATTACATAGTATTCTATTGTAACCATGCCATAACTTTTTATCCTTCCTGTTATTGATAGATGTTTGAATTGTTTCCAGTTTTTAGCAGTTGCAGTAATGTTAAGAAAATTCTTATGGGACCAGCAGTTAGCTTAATGGATATGTCGCTGGACTCCCATGTGGTCGACTGCGGTCTGAGTCCTAGACCCAGTGGCTTAAAACTCATGCCAGGTGTGTGTGCGTGCGTGCCCAGGATCCTGAGAGGAGAACAGAGGAGAAGGGATTGCAGCATGGCCATCCCCCCTGGGGGGGTGATTTCTCACTTTCTGTCTTTCTGTCTGTCTCTGTTTGTCTGGTGAGTGCACATACCCTATAGCAAAAACCTCTCCAAAAAAAAAAAAAAAGAAAATTCTTATAGTTTCTTTGGGGAAGCATACTTATTTCAGGTTGTGTGTATACATAACAGAATTGCTGAGACACAGGGTTTGTGTGTGCTTGGCTTCAGTATAATAGATATTGCCAAGTAGTTTTCCGAAGCTGCTGTCTGAATTTACACTCTTCAGAAGCTCAGCATTCAATTTGCTCACTAACTATTGTGTTATATTTATTTTCAACTACTTTGGTAAATGTGTACTTTTATGGGTTGTATCTTAATTTTCTTGAAGAATATTGATTTTGAATACTTTTTCTATTCACACCAGCTGATTATTCTTCTTTTTTTCGTAAGTGTATTTCATATGTTTTGCCCATTAAGAAGGAAAATTGGGCTGTCAGGTTTGTTCTGATTTGTCAAAGTTGAGCTTTGTTATTGTACAATTTGTGTATTGTACATATCTTCCAGTTGGTGCTTTATCATTTAAAATTGACATGCTCCTCATATGATAACTTCTAGTGAACAAAATTTCTTCATTTTAATGAAGTTCACTGTATCAGTCTTTCTGTTTATGGTTAGTGCTTTTTATATTCTACTTAGGAAAATTTTGTCTACCTCAAGATCATGAAAATACTATTTTTTTTGAGAAATTTTATGTTTCCTATCATATTTAGGTAAAAGAAATTAAATTTTTGCAGGAAGCCAGTCAATATTTGTTTCCTCCCTATGGTTATCTAATGGTGTGAACCATTTATTGAAAAGATCATATAGACCCCAGAGCATTGCAGTGTGCTCTCAGGTGACCATATATGTTTGGATCTGTTTCGGGATATCCTTTTCTAGTGCCATTGGCCTCCTTACCTATCTTTTTCCAGTGCCATATTATTTAACTGCTGGTTTCATAATAATATGTGATGGTGTAAATCCTCCAACTTTGTCCTTCAAGATTATCTTTGCTATTTTGCACCCTTTGTATTTATATATAAATTTTTAAATTGACAATTTTTACAGAAATGCTTGTGGGATTTTCATTGATTCCGTCCTGACTCTCTAGATTAATTTAGAAAGAATTGACATCTTACCAGTATTCTCTTCCATGAACATGGTTTACCCCTGTATTTAGTTTTTCTTTTATTTGTCTCAGTTATGTTTATAGTTTTCTATGTCTGTGATCATATCTTCTATGTCTCTTTTTTCTAACTGCTTAATTCTTACACTATTTCTTTTGCATTATCTGATGATCTCAAACCTTTCCTTCATGTTGTTCAGTTGTCAAAGTATAACTGTTCTGTTTCTTGCTATTTGTAACGCACACATGCACACACCCAAAGTTCTGTAGTGACTATTGTTCTGGTTGTTTAGCTATGCAATTTTCTTATTATCCCTTTCAAAAATAATTTTCTTAATTTTTAATTTTTTTTTTTAAGCTTCCAGTGTATTTTATAAAGGTTCCTTCTTTTTTGGGGAGGACTGTGTTTTCTTTCAGATTAGTCTTTTGCTGTCTTTTGCATGCTGTGAAGCTTTTTATTTTCTCTTTTTATCTCCTAGTATTCTAACTTCATTGGCATGCATTTTCTCTTGATCTTATTCATACTGAATAGAAATGGCTTTATCTGGATTTACCAGATTATTGTATTTGTGAATCTGTGACTTCCTCATTTTATTAAACTTTTTCTTTTCCTCATAGTTTGGATTTAAGG